ATTTTTGTATCATTTAAACCATTGATTAGCAAAAGGAATGAATAGTTCAATTGTGAAACAAAATTTAGCCTTCTATAACAACGAACATAACAGAAACTCGAAACTTCTTCACACAACTCGTCAAAGTCAAAGGTAAAAATTAACGAAAAATTAACGACACGGACACAGTTAACGGCCTTGGGCTTATTGCTCGAGATTCCACTCGTGATAATCAGTTGAGCAATCGAATCAATCTAGTCATAATAATTCATATACACATCAACGTTTTTGATTTGAGCCTTCAACAAAGCCTTGTAAGAGCGAAGTAGGTCTTTGGAAAAATAGTAAATCGAAATTTTAATTTGCCTTCAGTCCTTGAGCCCCACCACGATGAAATTCTCGATTAGATCTTTGACCACTTGATTTGGCTTCACATTAATCATCACTGGTATAGTCTGTTTTCTGATCTGATTGATTGCCTATTAAAATCAACGATTGAACACTGAGAAAGTTTGTGACTTGCTTAATTTTTGTATCATTTAAACCATTGATTAGCAAAAGGAATGAATAGTTCAATTGTGAAACAAAATTTAATGATGTGAGAAGGCACATTTCGCCTAAAATTTTGTAAATTAACTACAAGTTACAAAGTTAGAAAGTTACGAAAATTGAGCAAAAAGCGTGAACGGCAATTAAGAGTCAATTAAACGTGTACGTCAAAAGCGTATCCACTCCTAAGAAACAATAATAATAATCATACTTTTTCAGATGATAAAGTGAAATCCGATAAATCATAGAGAAACGTAGAGACAAGAAAAAGATACGAAGATACAAGATAGAGCGAAAATATAAGATATAGCGAATCTGAAAACAATCAGATCACCTACGAGAGAGAGCCGTTAGATCGATTCGTTTCTTCAAAATGGAAAGTGACCGAGTTTCTCAGTAGAAATTTTGTAAGATGTTCCACAATCTAGCGGCTCTAACGCGAAATGAGTTTGATAAAGAAGTATTGGACGCAAAAGGAATCTGCAAAAGGAATGAACCACTTCTGGACTCTGACCTTGGGTTCAATTTTTGAAAAAGTCAACAAACAAAGGGCTAATCTGTTTGAGATTTTGAAAGTTTCGACTAGATCAATGACAAAGCGGCGATGTTGTAAAGTTTTGAATTCAAAAAGAGCAAGTCTATCCTCATAAATCAAGCTGGAATAATTTAAAGAGTCTAGTATACACACCGCCACTTTGCCATAATCAAAATCAAAATGCAAACAGACTTGATCCTTTTCCTTCGGAGTAAAACAGGTTGAACCAATTTTGAAGCTAATTCAGAGGTGGCCAGAGCCTAGGAGAGGCGGAAAACTTTTCACATTGATTACGTCGTCCGGACAGTCAAAAATCACCATATCTAAAATAGAAGAGCGGCAGAAAGCAGAAAATGTATTGAAAATGAAAAAAGAACTCGTAACAAGGAAACGTTCAAATGAAATAGTGGGGTAGCGATACTTATCGAGGGCAATGGATCATTGAAAAAGCTTACACGGAATAAAATTTAAGTAATGATAATGTTATAAGGAAACAAGATAAAATAAAATGCCTAGCAAAGGGAGGAGGTCGAACTACCCGACTAAATTTAGGACTTTTGCGTGGGGAGCGAGCATCTGATTGATAGATTTGGTTGGTTTCGTTCGTTGGTTTACAGATCCCTTCATAGAGACGAAGTGTAGAAGCCCAAAAATTGAGCACGCACAAATAGCTCAAACATGTAGATACAACTTGTCGTCGGGTCGATTTGTTGGCGGAAACAGGTCGATCCACTTGTGAAGAACTTCGGGAAATTAGAATAACTCGGAAATTCGGAAAAAGGATGGCCCTCGATGTTTGCTTTGATAAGCGTGTTGGCATGAGAAACGAGTGCCGAGTGATCTTCGCCGTTATCGACTCGTTGCAGTCCATGCGAAAGAAAATCACTAGATTGAGGAGGATTTATGCAGAATGTTTGCATTACAATGTGAATCACAGCTTCAGAATTTTTGCTTGGAATTCCATGATTGACAATCCAGCGGGCGATTTCTGTAAATACGGAGAAGGTTTGAGGGGGAGTTGGTTCAATTGAAATCATTTTGATTCGCGTTTTCATCATGGCCTCGAGGTAGACGTGGGACAAATCGTGGAATGAATCGCATTTCAGGCTTACCTCCTCGCATCCATTCAATTGGTTTTCGATGAATTTGCCGAGTTGCTCTTTCAATGCTTCTTCTAGTTCAGGTGGTGAGAGTCCGAATCTGATGGTTAGTTTTGCGTTCTTTTCGACCGATCCACGAAAATTGGTGAGGAATTCTAGGTAATGTTCCTCCGTGTCAACGTAGAAGCCGAGTTGATTCACGTATTTCAACTGGTTTAGGAACACTCCATCGATGTGGCCCCAGAGGTCTAATTTGTCGGCTGCATCGATCCGTTTAGCGAAAGGAAGAAGAGTTTCATTCAATTTAAGGTACGGAGAATCGACGATCTTCTTGATCGAATATAAGCCCCCTCCTAGCATAACCCCAGCGACGTGAGTTCCGAAAACGATCGATTGATCCCTTGCATAAATCGCCATCATCCTCTTGTTCACCATCATCAATTCCAGCACGTCTTTCACATCGAGATGTTGTGCGATCTTCTCAATTAGCTCCACCGGCAAATCACCGATCGTTGCAACCAGCATTCTTGTATCTAAAAATCAAAAGATGTCATTGGAATTGGCATTTATACGATTTACTGAAGTCACTTTTTTTCACTAAAACCACTTTTTTAGGTTAATCTAGAGCAGTAAACGTTTTTCATTGTAAAAATCATATCAAGCAACCCAATAAATTGTTCCTTATACTAGAAATGACTCCAATAAACCATAAAATTAACGAGAAATGCATAAAAAAACAAATTGGAAGCGATCAAACGTAGATAAGGTTAAATTTTTTTTGGAAGAAAATCTCTCACAGCTTTCTAGATTAAAAATCAAAGATATCCCTAAACGCAAACAACTATTTAGATTTGCGCTTTAGTTAAAAGGAATTAGTCAAGTTGCGTTTATACGATATGGGTGAATGAATTGAAAATCATGGAGTGGAAGAAGCCGAAAAGAAAACGAAACAAGCCGTATTAAAATTTTAAACGACAAACTATGGGCAAATAATATAAAAAAGAAGGGAATGAACGAGGGAAGAGAGTACTTTATGAAGGCGCTACAAAAACACAATAGCTTTTACGAAGGGAAAGAAAACTTATCGGAACTCGGCATAAAATTCGGACAAAGTTTCCGATTGAACCATGGAATGAATCAAAATGAAAATAAATTTACTTAAGAAAAATTAAATTAGCATCTAACTCTAAGCGAGAGAAAGGAGAAAAACTTCCCTTATTCATTTTCTTTGAAAGTTTCTTTGAAAATGGCTGGACAATTTCCCGTGGAAATCCTGGAGCCCGTGGCAATCAATAACAATACTCCGGTACGTTGATTTCATGATTTTTAATTTAATTCGGTTTTATCTTAGGTTCTCAATATCGTGGGACCGAATGGTTCGGCGTCATATCTGCTTCGCAATAGCTCCGACCAAATTTGCTACTTTGTCGTATGTGATTATTTTTCCGTTGATCTTTATCCTTATTTAATCAAGTTTCTATAATCTAACTTAAACTATGATCTAACAAAATTTGTTTAAGACCTTTAGCTTGTTAATGACCCCTTTTAGAAGTTAAAGATCTTCAACTTCTATAAAGTCTTTAACTTGTTTAAGATCCGTAACTTCTACACTCTGTCAAAAAATTATAGACGCACCCTGTTTTTTGCTAGTTTAGAGCCGGATATAAGTGCTAGTCCAGTGAAAAGTATTTTTTAGTTTCTTTAACTTGTTAAAGAACAACCCATGAAAATTTCAAGTCATTTTAAACAATCAAAGTACTTTATCGTACAAAAACGTTTCTATCAGCTGTCAAAAATTATAGACACACTTGATTTGACGATTTATTCTATCAATAATTATTAGTTTTTTCTCATTTTTTTTTGCTTATTAGTTATGTTTATAAATGTTTTTACATTTTCAGATATGCCACTTGGAATGTGGTGGAAAAAACGCGTATCGATGTGCTCCACACGCTTGGTCACCCAAAAAGGGACATTGCTCATCGCATCGGACGTTCTGAGAAGTGTATTCGCACGTATCTCAAGACCAAAGTGACTTCTAAGCAGAAAGAAACATGGGGCCGGAAGAAAGAGTTGACCGATCAAGCGAACGCGCAATTACGAGCGTCTTTCCAACACGACGGCTCACTCGAAGAGGTTCGCAAGGAGATGGGCTCCGGTCCCGCCAACTGTGCACAACGTTGTCAAACGATCTACAATACTCAAATATAAACTCATGAAGCAAGCTCCACGACTTACAAAGGATCATAAAACCACCCGTATCGACGCTCAAAAGAACCAGAAGACTTGAACCCGATTGAGAATGTGTGGGGGACACTCGTTCGAGATGTCTACAAGGGAAACAAGCTATATTCGGGCACGACCGAGGTATAATTGGACTTTGCCTTGGCCCCGGGCGATAACGTCCGTCTTTATTTCCCCGGACAAAATCGTAAGGTTTTAAAAGAACTAATTTAACTTTAAAGATCAGAATGATCGAAATTTAAATGAGTGTTTTAAATCAGTTTTTATAGTGGCCCCTGGAGAATACGATTTGTACATCGGAGCTGTATCGTTGGCGGTTAATCAGGCTCTCCTTACGCTGACAGTGATCGTTTAACCGGAAACTGGGGTTCAATAATTCGTGAGTTATTTTTTGAATTTTGATAACCTAAAATTCGAACTGTATTTTCAAATGCTTTTTTTAGGGGGGCCAACATGAATGCCGTCGCCTTCACTTCATTTCGAATAAATTTCAGCACAACTCTCGAAAAATAAATAATTGATTTGAAAATTGAAACTTGATTTAAAATAACAATAACACTTGAATGAAGGAAAAAGACTGTATAACACGTTTAGTAGTTTGGGCGGTTCTTCTGGTAGTCGCGCTTGCTTCCATAGTTGCTTCTTTTATCACGACGTCCACGTTGATCTAAAAAGGACAAAGTGGTATCGGAAGTAAGTAACAAGACTTTATCTTGCCTCTCCCAATCTCGAGTACGGCTTGCTTGTTGAGTTGAAGATTTTAGTTTACCTTGATCACTAACCAAACTATGGACCAAAAAAATTGGTTCTTCGTCGTCTTCCTCAGCACCAAAGTATGGAGGACGGGGTGAACGACCTGGATTAAACTAAAATGAAATTTTGTAAAAATCCTTCAATTAAATAAAACCCTGTATCCGCGTGGTGTCTTCGGTAGAGACTAAACTCCAGAAAACCGGAGAATAATTGACGGAGAGCGGCGACGATTGGCTAAATAGTCTTCAGTTTCTAAACAAAATCTCATTCCAAAAGCTATTCCGATAAAGAATCATTTTGTATAAAAAAAAACATTTTTATTTGCCTGTGATTTTATTTTAAACATTGTCCTTTTTTTTCCCTTTTTTTTTTTTTTTTCTTTCCCTTTCTTTTTTTTTTTCTTTTTTTTTTTTTTTTTTTTTTTTTTTTCCCCTTTAAAAATAAAAGAAGTTTCCCCCAACCCCCCCCGGCGAAGGGGAGGAAAAACGAGCCCAAACCCGGCCCCCTGGGGCCCGAAAGCCGCGAAAAAAACCCCAAAAATTCCCCCTTGGGGGGTGGGCCGGCGGGGTGCGTCCGGCAAATAGGTTAGTTGAAACTTTTGTCTTATGTGGTGCATTATGCGTTGACCCAACTAGGGTTTTCTAGGCATTCAGGGTATGCAATAAAATCTTTTTTTGCGTAGGTTGACGGAGGATCCCTCAAACCGCGTGCTTCTCATCGAAGCCGGGCCAAAAGATCACGGGTGGGGATTGGAGAATTCCCATGCCGGCCGCGTTGATGTTGAACCCGTTGAACGATACAATTGGTAACGATAGCAAATGTCAACGGGTTTCTCAAATGGAATAAACTGGGCATCAACGTACTGTGGTACTGAGGGGTACTTTTTACAGTTTGCGGCCGTTGAAAAACTATAAAAGGAGCAGGCACACGCAAACAACAGCAAGATAATGCAAGATAAATAGTTGCCAACGGCAAAGGCGAAAAGGGGATGTTAACTTGCTTGCTTGGGTTACTGTGGCTGATATACTGTAACTGGTATACTGTAACTGGTATACTGTAACTGGTATACTGTAACTGATTTAGGACATACGGTACTCGGTGCAGGTATACTGTAACTGATTCAAGGATGAAATATGAGCTACTGTATTCGACAATCCGCACTTTAACGATTCTATAGCAGGGGATTTTCAGATCAAGCGTCAAGTCGATCAAATCAACAAATATTGCAAAGATTCTCGGGCAGAAAGAAAGCTCTTGGACGATCAATGAACAAACCCATTAAAGTATTACTCGCATTTGATTTTTGAGTTTAATCAATAATATTTATTTGATTTGCTCAAGAATCTTGTTTTGTGTAGACGACCCGTGTGTGCTCCAAGTAGCCAATCTGAACCCTCTTATTTTTCATTGATTGAATATCTTTACTTTTGGATGTGTTGCTGTTCTCATTTCGATGACTTGTTCCAAAAAGCGATCATCATGTCGGATAAATGTTCGTCGAAGCTGAAATCCAATGTGAAAGCCATTTTTATGGAGTCTTTAAGATCTATGGCACTTGAGTGCAAATTAATTGTAGTAGTACTTTATAAATAGTGCAAATGATGCTTTTGTAACTTATCTAAGGCTTACTGTGGCTGTTCACTTAAACTTTGAGCTACTGGAGCTATTGGCATTGCTGTAGCTAGCTTGTACTGTAACTAGCTTGTACTGTAACTAGCTTGTACTTTAACTAGCTTGTACTGTAATTAGCTTGTACTGTAATTAGCTTCTACTGTAACTTGCCTAGGGTTTACTGTAGCTGAAGTAGAAGATACTGTAACTGTGCCTTAGATAAGCTTAAAAGGATTACTGTATCTGATCCTGGTGTACTGTAACTGATTTAAGCTCACTAAAAAGCCACTCTTTACAAAAAGAGTGGCTTTTTAGTTGTGGCAGTTCAAAACAAGAGTTTCACTCACATCTTCCACCGGGAGATCTCTCGAGAACGAAATTCTCCCAATATCTTTCAATGTTAAGACCAATTTGTTGTGCGAGACGTGCCCAACTTCATAAGTTGTGAAACCTGAAAAGTTTTAAGTGTAAACTAAAGTCTGGATCTGGATTTTTCAATTGATAACCGGTTGAAATAGGTGTGCGCCTTAACACCTAAGCCCGAGCCTAAGCCCTCTAGCTACAATGCTTCTTTGGAGCACTAGGTGGCTCTGATCAGGATGGTTTAAGTGTAGAAATGTTCCCCAGAATTTCAACGTCAAAATACTATATAATAAGTTAAATTTCGATCGAGTTTTAGCTGAAAAATGGGGCTTCTTCTGCAAAGTGATTCTTTTGTAAAATGATTCTTTTGATCACCCTGTATTTTGCTTCTTTGTTTCACCAACCATTGTTCCCCGAAGTCATCAACGTGGCATTTCCAGTTGGGTCCACTGTAACGAAGCCCCATTCATCGTGGAAATGATCCTTTGTTGAGTGGGACCAAGCTCGAGCGCTAAAATTCACGAACTATTGATTAGAAATTTATCTACAACTATAACAATTGCTATTTATCTATTCATTTCATCCTTGACTCGAATACCGAAGTAAAACTTAGAGCAGTCATACTAATTTGGGTACCTGTGAACGCCGCCTATTTTTTATTGAAAATCAATTTGCATTTAAAAATGGGCAGCTTAAGAGTCACAAATAGGCTTGCTTATCGATATTATCAATACAAACGGTATGCTCATCTTTGACTGTTTAGATCTCGATTTCTAGAAGAGCTATCAATCTGTAAATTGTTTTATTGGAAAGTCAAGAATGTCAGCTTTTGATTGCTATTTTTATACATAGCGTTTAATGAGTAAGAACCTCATAAACCATCTCGATCGATAAGCTTATCAATATTTGAGTGTCGATAAGGATTGAGAAGCTTTTTAAGGCATTCACCTATGAGAATTTGCTCTAAATGAGATTGCAATCAAAAGTTGACATTCTTGGCTTTCCAATAAAACAATTTACAGATTGATAGCTCTTCTAGAAATCGAGATCACAACGGTGAAACATAAGCTTATCGAAATATCGATAAACTAGAATCAAGTACATAATATCGATAAGCAAATCTAGTCACAAGTACGCTAAAGTACTTGTGACTTTGCCCATTTTGACTTTTATAACTCACAACACTATCATCAAACCATTACATTCTTACAAATCAGACTAATTTCCTATTTATTCTTTGCAATAAGATCATAAAACTAAATGGAAATTGCCTCTTTTTAACGGAAATTATACTGGGGCAAGTGGGGAATTTTATAATGTGCAAAATGGGTGGCATAAGAGTCAAAAGAACCCTAATTTGTTCTTTAAGATCCATCTATTCCAATGAAATTTTCTGATCAGCTAATAACCAGCTAATAATCAGCTTATCGCTTTCCCCACTCTTCATTTTCCCTCATTTCAATACACCAAATGGAATAGATTCGATTCTTTTCCGAACACAAATCTTTAAAAAAAGTGGAAAGAAGAAAGAAATGAAAGAAAAGGAAAGGAAAAGAAAGAAGAAAAGGAAAAGAAAGGAATGAGAATGGTTGGATGGGGTATGGGGGTGAAGCCGAGGTGGAACCCGTTTCCCTTTTCCTTTCGCACTGTCACACTCTATTTCCCCTTTGCTTGGCATAAAGACACATTAAAAACATTGATTTGTATCAAGCTCAAAAAAAAATCGATGTCAAAACAGAAAACAAAAAACTTTAAGCCTAAACGTAAGCTCAATAAGCTCAATAACTTGCTCAAACTTAAGCCAACACTAAGCCAATAACTGAAGCCAACACTCAGCCACTGCCAACAAGCCAAAACTGCCAAACTCTCAATCGGCCAATAGAAGCTCAATAACTTAAGCTCAATCACTTAAGCTCAATAAATTTAGCTTACATTTATAGGTTGAGTTTGGAAACTAAGTTTTTGTTTCCGGACTTAAAGCTATGGTTCTATTTTTCAACTTATTTATAAACTACAGAAATTGAAGTACAATAAAATGAAAAGTGAACAAGTATGAGAACTTGTTAAAAACTCTTGCAGTTCAATAAAACTAGGTAATCAAGAACAATGAGCATTTAAAAACTAATGAACGAAACGAATCAAATTCAAAGCAAAACCTAATAAAAGTCACAGCTTTACAGTCACTTTATAAAGTTTCACTTCAGCTTCAAAAGCTTAATTTCAAGCTGTTTAAGGCTTATTTACAATGGTTTAAGTTTACAATGGTTTACAATGGTTTAAGGTTTATTTCCAACTCGAATGGACCAAGAAGTCCAAAGAATTTCTCTTAACACTACTGTACACTAGACATGGGAAATCCGGGTGAAATCGGGGCAGTTCGGGGTGACGATATTTTGGCCAAAAGTTTCTACCAAAAAAGTTATTGTTTTATTTCTTTTTGAATTAAATAGAACGTCTTATGGGCTACATTTTGACCTATAATACTTCTCAATGTCTTTTTGAATTGAACGAGAAAAACCTCCTTGACCCGTCGCTCCAACGTGAAAGCCTTTTTGGGCGATGGGCCAAACGTATTTATTTCGTTCATCTACAAGAGATTTTGCTATTTATTAAATGTCAAAATGTAGTCTATAAGATGCTTTATATAAAGTAAAAAGAAATAGATCAATAACTTTTTTTCGGTAAAAATTACTAGCCAAAATAACGTCGCCCCGAACCGCCCCGATTTCCGACCTCTACTATACACAGCTCAGGCTAGGATCTAGCTATTGTACTTGGTCCTAAACTTGCCTGAATACATTTGATAGCCAAAATCAGCTTCAATCTGTCACCCAAAGGTGTAAACTTTGACTATGTGAATGAAAATGAAGAAAGTATGATCGTAAAACTCACGAAAAGTTCAAGAATTGTACATTGGCGCTCCTTGCCAATGGAGCTTCCATGATTTTGAGATCCTCGCCGAAAGTCATCGTGGGAACTGTTGGCCAAAAGACCTGCAGGATTTGTGATTTTAAAATGACTATAACATTTAAATCTCAACATTTAAATCATAAAGTTCTTGTATTCAATTTAAATTTAAGAAAGATTCCTCCATTTTTTTGGTTTCACGAATTCTGCACCTACCTTTCCCGAGAATTCGCTTCTCCAATGTCCAACAATCCATTCCAATTGCTTATTGTAGGAAGTTAATTCCGAATTTGTTAAAGAAAAGAAGAAAAATAACAAGAAAATCATGCTGACTGAGCGGAAATTCGAAGGAGAAGCCGAGTCGACATTGGAAAAATGGGCGGAGTCATTTCTCTGTTTTTTCTTGCACTGCAAAAGGAGCCGCTCAATTTTGTGTATGTAAGCGCTTTTTAAACTCTGTGGCAAGATTGAAAACGAATTGCACTCTGTTCAATAATTAGTTTATCATAATTGTTCAATAACTGTTAGTAGCTCTGCTAAAGAGCGAGTTGTGTTAAGAAGTTTCGAGTTTCTGAGATTTGCTATGCTCGTTGTTTATAAAAGGCTTCTCATTTTCCATTTATTAACCATTACAATGATAAAGCTAAAAACGTAAGAATACAGTTGAATAAACATTACAAAATAGATCTAAACCGGATTAGACATCGATAAGGCGATTTTCTTAGCTGCAGAAAGCCTTGCCGGCCGTGTAGGTGCCACCGCAACAATAACTCAATCCGGCACAACAATCATTGATCATCCCAGTCTAAACAGTTTGCGATTGTAATCTCGTTTTTTAAAGTGTCACAAAATTGTAATATAATTTGAGCACTTACGTAGCAAGTTGAATTGCAGGCTGGCTCATACACGGGCGCAACGACAGATGCTGAAAATGAAATATTATCAGATTTCTGTTGTCTAATGATTCTAGAAGCTCACTCTGAGAGTTCTCCGTGCTCTACGTAAGGGGCTACTATTACAGCTTTTACGGTATTATTATATTTTTTTGTCTAATGATTCCTATCACATATTTCTAGGATCTTACTCACTCTCAGGGATATTTTAGAATGGATATTTGAACTCACGAAGCGAAGTGAGGAAAGTGGTGCAGGCAATGATGATGTAGATGAGAAGAAGAGAGGATTGGATGAGTGATTTGGATGGCATGGTTGAGTTGAGAGATCGAAGAATGAAGCGAATGAATGGATTCGATGATTCCCTTCAGATTTCATCCATTCTTTTATATTGGCCACATCGAGTGCTCCAACTTTGATTCCATTCAATTTAGTCTTCTGCAAAAATTTGGGATTTTCGTTCAATTCAAAAAGACATTGGGAAGTATTATAGGTCAAAATGTAGCCCATAAGACGCGCTAATTAATGAAAAAAGAAATAGAACAATAACCTGTTTTGGTAGAAGCTTTTGGCCAAAATATCGTCACCCCGAACTGCTCCGATTTCCGACGTCTACTTTACACGGCTCAGACGAGGATCAGCTATTGTACTTGATTGAAGTTGAACCAATGAACTTAGAAAATGATCAAGTAAACTGGTTTTGATTTCTCATCTCTGATTCTGAGTCTTCAATGGCTGATTTCACCCTTCTCTCGGGTTATTTTAAAATCTCTTAATATCGCGAAATGCGATGGAGATTGCTGGACGTGATAAACAAAAAAAAACAACAATGAGTCGCTAAAAGCTCAAACAAAACGAGAATCAAACGGATTTCATTCATTCGATTTTCTTTTAAATCAAATTTTGATACTTTTAAATTCAGAGATGAACTGGCTGGGAGGTATTTTCTCGTTTCTGTTGGTGTTGATCGGTGTGAATTGTGCGGAGCTTGATAGTTTCCCAATCAACGATCCCCTCAATGAGCCATGTGAACGGGGAAAATTTCGTTGTGCTGAGGGGGAGTGTATTCCGAGTCGTCTTCGATGTGATGGGAAAAAGGTGAGTGATTTGATGTCTAGTAAATGCCGTAATGCCGTAATGCCGTAATGCCGTAATATACCGTAATACTTAAAATGTACAAAGCAATACCCGTTATTTAACTTAATATCAGTCTTTCTGCGTATTGAGAGCAGTTGTTGAGTTTGCCTTGATTAGAGCACGTTTCTCTCAGTCAATGCGTTTCTCTCAGTCAATCTAAAAAGCGTTTTTCTTAGAAAACTACTCTAATTGTCTGAACTAATGCTAAAAGACATCTATTTTGCGTTAATGGCGTTAATGGCGTTAAAAAGGCGTTAATGGCGTTAAGGCGAGGCCATTCGATTAGTCAAATTTTGCTCACATTCAATGAGGGAATTAAAAGACTCACATCAGTGATGCCAAAATTCGACTGATCAAATACAAGCCGGCGTTTGATCGCGGTAATTTCGGCAATTGCGGTAATTAAAATAAATATCTGTCAAAAATGATTCATTGGAATTCTTGATTACGAGAAAGTGTTTAGGATTGTTTCCTTGGTGACGACGAGGATTGTCCAAAGGGGATTTCAAGCTGCAAAGCCTCCGAAGTCGCGTGTGGCAATGGGATTTGCATTCCGAAGACACGCGTCTGTGACGGGAAAATCGATTGTGTTGATTGGACTGATGAGGTGAATATTTTTCATTTCCGAGCTCTTTCCTTTAGCTTTTTGAAGTTACCAAACGCATACATCTTTACGCGTTTTAAAACGTTTTAAAACTTTTAAAAGTGATACTAAAGTAGAAATGATGTAAACTCTAACTTGACCAGCAAATTTCTGGTTATTGGAAATTTGATGTCCAATAACCATTTGATATCTAATAACCAATAACCTTTTATACGCCCCGCCCCTTTTGCCATTGGCAATCTAACTTTGAACTCAAATATCTTGGTGTTGGGCGGTCCAGTTTAAATAGTTTTTGAACCAATCAACAGAGAAAGACTTGGCGCATCTAATGATACTAAGAATATTGAAATTGAACAACCCAACACCAAGATCTTTGAGCTCAAAGTTAGATTGGCAAAAGGGGCGGGGCCAAAAAGACCTTTTATACGCGCCCCGCCCTCTTTTGTCACTGGCAATCCAATGATACCAAGAATATTTCAATTGAACAACCCAACACCAAGATATTTGAGTTCAAAGTTAGATTGCCAATGACAAAAGGGGCGGGGCGCCTACCAAATGTCCCAGAATCCAAATTTTTAGGTGGGTTGTGGCAGTACTCCGCGCCTCTTCAAGACAACCACCCCAACCACATCCACCACAACGCCTTCAACAACCGCTCCACCTCGTGGGACACTGAAACAGTTTTCCCAAAGTGCACCAAATGTTAAAGGATTTGAAGTGAAACCTGCTTGCAAATCAAGTAAGTAAAAAAACTTTAAAATGTTTGTTGTTTAACATTGTCATGATGTCATGTCATGTTTAACATTGTCAATGTTTAATTCTGTTTTTAAAAATCGAGGCATATCGCTTGGATTCAGAAGCAAAATGTACCAGAAGCATAAGCAAAAATAATCTTCAATTTCTACTATTGGCTTATGGATTTCAAAGTTGAACCATTAAAATTCAGACATGAACCATGAACATTCAGACATTAAAAACATTTTCAGACTTCTTTCCAATCAAGATCGATCGCCCGAATCTTCTCCTTTTTCTCATCGGTCAACTCCTCATCATTTTGATTATTTTCTGGCTTGTCAAAGTGATTTGTATTCGGTTGGTTTTTTGGTAAACTAAAAGTACTATGTAGTAGTAGATCATATGTAGTAGATCATTCATATGTAGTAGATCATTCATATGTAGTAGATCATTCAATATTCCGCTACAATACACAATACATACAACAATACAACTATTTCTCACAGAATACTATAATTCAACGTATAATAACAATGAAATTCTAGCAAGAGATTCTCGAAAACCACCGACGGACTCACTGCCAAGCTCTACCCAACCCTAGAAACCGAGGATGGAGAGGCTAACAAGTGAGTAGACTTTAAGATATTAATAATGGCAAGCCTTAAGATGGCAAGCTCAGTACTTATACCCGATACTATAGTAGTGATATAGTTATCGGTGTCAGCAACGAAAAGGCAGAAACTTCATTCTCATAGCTCGCCCAAAACCCTAGCAAATGACAACTCTGTCTAGGAGATGATGTAAAGTACACCAATACTTGTAATATAATTTAATAGTTGCACCGAACTACTGATACAGTAGTAAATTGATCGCTATAAGAAAGAAATCCAGTAGTACTGGACAGCAGATAAGCAGGAAGTATTGGATTGGTGAATTGAAAACTGCCGGACTTTGAACTAAAATTGATTCAACATAAAACCATCAATTCGTTCCAAATAATTTCCACTATTATTGACGACTTTTGCCCATTTTACAGGCAATTTGCGGATTCCTCTTTCGTAGTAGGATTTTGGTTTGTGTGTGAGACAAGGGTGAGACTCAAAAGTCGAGGACTGGACTTTGAGAATGGAGGAAATGGAGGACTGGACTTTGAGAATGGAGGAAATGGAGGACTGGACTTTGAGAATGGAGGAAATGGAGGACTGGACTTTGAGAATGGAGGAAATGGAGGACTGGACTTTGAGAATCGGAGGAAATGGAGGACTGGACTTTGAGAATGGAGGAAATGGAGGACTGGACTTTGAGAATGGAGGAAATGGAGGACTGGACTTTGAGAATGGAGGAAATGGAGGACTGGACTTTGAGAATGGAGGAAATGGAGGACTGGACTTTGAGAATGGAGGAAATGGAGGACTGGACTTTGAGAATGGAGGACTGGACTCTTTCTTCAAAAGAAACCTATTTTGGTGTCAATAGAAAAGTTGTAGAGAATCAAAAATTAGGCTTATAGCCAAATTTCCAAAAAGATACACTTAGTAGTTTCGCTTTTCATTCCAAATAAGTTCCATTAGGCAGTGTCAGTGAACATAGGGCATCCAAGTCCCAAGTTTCGATTTAAATCCGAGGTTATGAAGGTGATTCAACACTGTAGCATGATTAACCCCTAACTCTTCTCCCAATTCACGTGATGATGCCCGATGGTCGTTGGTAATGAGCTCGAGTAATTTGGAATTATCCAGTTGGGGTGCCGCTCCACGGCCCACTGCGTCATTCAAAGATTTGTCCCCAGATCGAAACTTGGCAAACCATACTCGACACGTTCTTTTGGAAGGTGAGTCCTCCCCATATATCTTTTTAATATTAGTAGCTGCCAAGCCTGCACTGTGCTCTTGTAGGAACTCATGAAGCATGACATGACGAATATGTCCCGGTGGCAGATTGTCAAGTGCAATAGAAGAAGTGAAGAAAGATACCAAAAAATAAAAAGCTGGAAGCATTATTTTTTCGCAATAATTAGAGGAAATGTTGAAGTAACCAAACCCCCTTTCAGCTGGTTCAATGCTTTTGTTTTTTTATCTGCGAGTCCCGCGAAATAGCCGGTAGTTTTCAATTCACCAATCCAATAGTAAAACAATCAGTGCTTTAGTAGTTCGGGGAGCAGTTTGTCAAAACCAATTTTTTAAAACTCTACACTATTTTTAAAAACACTTTCTACGGTAATTAATTCCGCTGAATTTATTGGAAGCATTTTTTAAAACATCCTGGACAACTATTAGGCCAGTTTGAGCAAGATTTCCGTGCTTTCAAGAGCCTTCTATTTCCAGTGGGTGTAAATGTGAACTGAGAGAGGCAGCACTGAATTAAGAGGCTTAAAACCTGCTTGAAATCGGTAGAAACTATTTGAAATAGGTAGAAAAGAGCCACTAAAGTTCAAGTAAATACAAAATTAGGAATCTACGCTGTTAAAAATCATAGAAGCAAAAAATTAGTGCGTTCTGGTGGTGGCGAAATTCGAATGTAAAGTTTCAGAGCTGTTGCCTGAACCGCCGCTTCTCCCTGACTTCAACAAAAATTCGTCATTGATTTTAAAAAATTCAGTTTTTGTACTGTTATGTAAAACATTTATTTGACTAAATAAAATCAGAGCAATTATAAAAACAATGAAAAGTCAGTGACTAGATCGATGGGAAACTAGAGATTCGTACCTGTACACAATGAGGTCACTAAGATTAATGTCAAAATCAGAAAGTCAGTCAAATCAAAAAGTCAGTCAAATCAAAAAATTTACATATATTTTGTCAAAAACTCCACAATATCTTCACGCATTTGTTTGCCTA